GGAGATCCGTGGCCCAAAGAGTGTGAGACTCAATGGTAGCTGCATCGGTGCCCGGCTTGAAGGTCACGATGTACTTGCCAGGAATCTTCTGAGCAGAACGACGAGTTTCCTGGACAGGCGCGCCAAACACGGCTGGCAGGACAGCTCCGAGGAGCAGCAAAGTGCGTTTGATAGAAAGCATGGCGAAGACACAGAGGAGACTCTGGATACCGGATCAGGCTGGGAGATGTTGGACTGAATGGTCTGATGAATACAGATCTTTGGAGGACAGACAGGTATTTATAACCTTTCCCTTTTCGAGTTCCGTTCATGTTCTTCTGCTCTTGCGCCATTTTCACGCCTCCGGATCTCCCAGTCACCACCGGGAGACGACGATGGAGACAATCGGGGGAGTGATCCGGAGAGTGCAATGGGAACTAACAGGGTAACATTGCATCGCACACCGTCGGAGAGCCAGATAGTGTACGTAGCGAGCATGAGGTGAGATGAACTATGCAGATGATGGATAAGATCTTCATCAGTCCGACATGACCGAGTCCAGGACAAGAAATCGATGGGTCATCAGAAAGACGACGTTGACCACGGTGAATAGTCACTGATGCCGCTGATTCGTGCAAGAACACCCCGAGCACAAGAGAATTCTCTCATTAGATGCGCAAATAGCGGCATGAATTCCTCTTGCGCCCGCATTCTCCTTACGGAAGGTAATATGTCTTTTCTTGGCTTCCTCAGTGACTCCTCACACCGTTGCGCTGACTGAGGTCCGTCCCAAGGGCAAAGCTTCGGGGAGGAAGGGTCAAGCGACTTGTCTGCAGAGCCGGATGTGACCCTACCAGGATACTTGGCAATCTCACGCGATTTCCTCCTTGGCATTTCTGCACGCACTCGAGATAAGGATATTGACTAGGTCGCTCAGCCTGATAATGGCCTGCCAGGGTCCTCCTAGACGGGACCCAGTCGCATGAGATTGGCAAAAGGGGGAAAAGCACATGATGGCATGCTTAATGGCGCTGCAGATCGTAATAACGTTTGCATTAGACTGGGGGCCTAGTAAACGCCAATCGAGCAGCCAGCGGTGCTGGCTTGTAGCCTTGTAGCAGATAGCCTTGTTATTAGCCCTGTACAACGCTTACTGTTTCTCTGGCAATCTCGTCGGCTCGCTTTATGGACGATGGTAGTACACATATATCATAGGTGCGCACATGTGGTAGTACTGATCTCCTGATGCAGTCATGGTTCGAGGGCAACACACTCGAACCTCTCGAGGTGACTCTTACGCTGACTCGAGCACGCCAAGCAGGGCTCGGGGTAACTGTCGAACGAAGGGGACAACCAAATTCCCCTCTCCACATGGCCTCGGCTAGTGATAATGGCAGACTGGCAATTGGCGATCGTAAGCAGTTCCTTTGACCTTTGTGGCTAGCCTAGATACATCCCGGTATTCACTACTCGCCGGCGGGCGTCCGAGGAGCCCTGGGCCTTGGCATTAAGGAAACATACCGTAGATAGATTAGGAACAGCAAGACAATCATTATTATTGATGATAGATACAGGGCCCGGACTCCAGAGATATAGAGTAGGTACTCTGTGAGACACTGAGCGCCGAGGGAGTCCCATCTGGCAATCAGGATTCGCGGGGGCCTTCTCCGGCTTGGCCAATAGCTTAGCATGTCTGGTGATTTATCCCAGTTGCATTGAGCTCGTGATCTTGATAAGAGGGTCTGTCCAGTCGGCCAGGTCCGGCTGAAGAGTGGGATCATGGGGGTGATGGTGCCTTGTGGACGAAAGGCCAAGAGTCTCAGCGCAGCATGCCGACTTGGCACGTTCTGTTCCACCGGGAATCCGTTGGGGCTTAGCATTATTAAACCATTTATATGTTGCAATAATATGCACATATACTTGTGAGATGACGACATGCATGTATACATGCATATGTCTCAAAGATAAGGCATCTACTACAGTTGAACCCTTGCATTTGTCATTTCCATCAATGATGAAGAAACACCAGATAATAACGTTGGCGAAAAAAACGCCGGGCTACCCTGCGGCCAAGACCTATTTTAATGTACAAGGCTAGATATGGCTGATGAACATCAAGGACAAAGCAATCAAGGATATAGTGTGAAGAGACCTCGGTGAGAATTACCTTCGCAAGTACATGAGCAATAATCCAGTTCGAACCATTCTCCGAAGCTGACCATATCACTAAACTCGACAAATATCTCGTCGTCGTTCCAATACAATTTCAGATCCTTATTCACTCTTCTCTACATGCTTCCTCTCCGCCACTCTGTTGTGAAACGGGAACCCCGTAGTCCTCTTGTCGGCTCCGGTCTTGCGACTGATCTTCCCATGGTTGCTGGCAAAGAGCGCACACCACAATCCGAGGGACGCGACGGCGAAGTATCCGACCATGGCCGCCGCGAAGACCACTTGGTCGGTTGTGGTATACCAGGTGTACGTATAAAAGGCCGACATGGCGTGGTAGACGGACGTTATTACCAACGTAGGAACGGCATACGGAGCCTTAGGGTCGGAGTCCTGGGTTGAGACTGCTTCTGAAACGGCTGAGCTGAGAGGGATGGAACCACTCAGCATGATGGTCAAGGTGGCGATCGTGAGCAGACTGAAGCCAAGGCAACGAGCGAAGTAGATCTCGATTTCTGCGATGTTTAGCACCGGTTCGTGCTAAATGTCTTTCCTGAGTATGGTGCTTACGTGACGGCTGCCTGGCTTCTTCTAGCATGATTCTTACGATCATCTGTGGCATTCCAATCAAAGGTATGGCTTGCAGCGAGAGCCATCCCGCTGTTGAGTATGTGTAAGCGTAGAATACCTGGAGTACAGGATAAGTTATCAGCCACCAGAAGTGCTTGGGCAGTATAGCGCATCCATAACACATACATCCATGATATGCGAAATGATCTGTGTTTTTGTACTATGTTGTTGTGGTCCCTCAGTGTTCAGTATTGGGAGTTCGACAAATGTGTCAGTTGTAGATAGATACAAGTCTTAGTATAAGAATATTATTCCCAAGTGCAGTATAAGTACCTAGAGAAAGCGATCTGAAGCAATTCTGTGGTACGTCAGTTTGATACTGCACGGCGGTCGTGTGACATCATCCACATGGCATCCTGGAATGCTTGGAATGCGCGCCTTTTGTCTTGTTTGCATTGGATACATTATCCTGTTTTCTTTTTTTACCTGCATCCAACATTCAAAATAATATCCATAAAACTAAAGGTCTATATGTTATGCAATCTTATTGTTCCTTCGTGCCTGCGGAAGCCGATACCGCTGGATAAGAATGATAAGTACGATAACCCCGTATCAAACCCGTGGATGAGATCAACAAGGAAGTTAAAAAGAGAAATAAAAGACATTAATCATGAAATTTTTGATCGAGAAATCTATCGGTTGATATTACTAGAGCGTAAGTACCGTGCAAAGCTCAGGTCTTCGTCGTTCGGACCACCTTGAGATTCTGAAAGAGCTTCTTTGTATCGCTGGGACAGCCCCGCCTCGTCCCCAGCTGGAGGAACACCTTCCTCGTCATCGTCGGTATCATCGTTCTCCGAAAATTCCAGATCCCCCTTGCTTGCTGCAGCAGCGGCTGCTTCTTCCTCCTCTTCTGCTTCGCTGACGGTCTCGGCTTCGTTCGCGGCACGCGGCTTCCGCGAAGGTCCAGAGACACTCATATCCTTCATCAGCTTGCCCAGCTCCAACTCGCGCTGAGCTGCCTGGGTTTCCTCGCGCTCCTTCTTCTTGCGTTCCAGTTCTGGCTTGTAGTCCCGTTCAAACTCCTGGCGCTTCTCTTCCACTGCTTGGAAGAATTCGTCAATGCCGTCGCCTGTCATGGAACTTACGCCCACGACACTCAGATGGCGATAGAACTCTTCCAGCATTAAACCCATACTATTGAGAAGCGAACCCATGTATCCGCTGCCTGCCCCGAAGCCCGCGGCGCTACCCTCCCCTCCGAAAGCACCAGACTCCTCCTCCTCTCGCAATGCTTGCTGGAATGCATCGAAGTCGGTCATCCATTCTTTCGCGAACTCTGCATCCTGGACATCTGTCTTGTTGAACACCAGGATCATTGGCAGTTTTGTTTTGTATAGGATACTGCAGGCGTAAAGCATGTTGCTCATAAAGGTACTTGTGGAAGTCGTACGCGGGGTATCAATGACATAGGCGATGACAGTAGGAAACGAAGAGGCTAGTGTCTCGAGTAAGATGCTCCCAGATGCACTCCAAACGAAGACTTCGATTTGTCCGGGCGTGTCGACCAAAATGTGCTCGATGGGCTTGGCCGATGGATTTTCGGGATTGGGTGCGGTACGCTTTTCCAGTAATGATATAATCTGATCAACCTTTGTTGCGAACAGATTCAATGATGTCAAGATACCGCCGTTAGGTCCGAGATTGTACTGCTTCATAACTTCTTTGTAATTGATCGAGTCACGGATGTCGATATTGCTCTCAAACGGGACCGAGTATACAGCGGGGTCGAGGTTGAGCACGTAGGGGATTTTTTTCTTTGAATGGAGGTACGAGTTGATTCTCTGCATGAAGGTCGTCTTTCCCGAACCTAAAGTGAGGTAGTATCAGCAATTATCGCTCATTCCTAGAAGGCCTTTTGAGCTAGAACGCCCTGTGAATGATATACCTGCCATGCCGACACAGACCACCGACACGGGAGTCGTCGCCATGATGAGAGATGGCTAGAATATGATAGAGTCTTGAGTACTATCTTAAGATCTCAGTAGTAAAGAATATTTCTCTTCAAATTAAGAAAATAGTTAGCTTGATGGAGAAGTGAACATGTAAGTGAATAATGCGGTTCGAAGCAGAAATTCTTTTGTCGCGGGGATCCGAGGAGATCTGCTCGCGGGTGGAGCCCGTAGTCTGGACCGCCTAGACGTCATACTAGTGTTTTTCATGCTGCGGCCGCTCCCTTCTCACACGAAAGCTCTATGCAATCGTGTTGACAGATAACAAACATGACTCTAGACGATTTTGAGAAGTCGCTGGCGGAGGATCAAGAGCGACGACGCGAACGAAGCGACAGAGAGAAGCATCGACACAGAGATCGAGACCGAGATCGCAGCAAAGAACGATCAAGGCACCATCGTCATCATCACCATCATCGGCGCCATTCGTCGAGGTCGAGAGAACGAGAGTCGGATCGCCCTCGAGAGTCGCGTGATAGTGAGGAAAATGGACATCGACACAAGCGATCACGCCATTCCACCGATCACGGCGATGACCGGGATCATTCCCACAAGCGCCGGCACAGGAGGGAGAGTAAAGGCAATGAATCAGAAACTACAGCTCCGGTGAAGGAGATAGTTCAGCAGGAGCCTAGTCTGTTGCGGCGGGATGCCTGGATGGAAGCGCCATCCGCCCTCGATGTCGATTATGTTCACCGACGAGACACTACACGGTTGGAGGAAGAACCGAAAGCCAAGATGCTCCAAGCGGACTTTGAGCTGAAGATACACGACCGAGAACTGAACCAGCATCTCCGTGATCTGAAAGACGAGAAAGAGCTGGCTGAGGTAGAGGAAAAGCCAGCACAGCACGAGGTGGATTACACTATCGGGGATGCTGGCTCCCAGTGGAGAATGACAAAGCTCCGAGGCGTATATCGGGAGGCAGAGGAGAGTGGGAAACCTGTGGAGGAAGTTGCAATTGAGCGCTTCGGGGATCTGCGCTCGTTTGATGATGCGCGTGAAGAAGAGGCGGAGTTGGACCGCCGCGCACGGTATGGCGAGGGTTACGTGGGCAAAGAAAAGCCAACAGGGGACCTCTTCCAGGAGAGAAAGCTTGAACAAGGGGTTCATAGGAAACCTCTGGAACACGTTAGAGATCCTGAACAGGAGCTTGCAGCTCGTGGTCAAGGTCAGAAGATCGACACGGTGCCTCCTTCCGGCGCCACACAGCACCTTGATCTGACAGCTCTCAACCGACTCAAAGCGCAGATGATGAAGGCAAAGCTTAAGGGATCGGCTGAAGCAGCAGAGCTTGAGGAGCGTTACAATGCGGCCGCAGCGGCAATGGCCAATCGCAAGGAGTCCGATGTTGTAGTGCTCGGAGTCATGGAGAACCGAATGCTTGCAGGACAAAGAAACGAAGCCAAGCCCGTCGAGACTAGGAGGGGCCGGGAGCGAGGACAGCTGGAGGAAAATGAGGATATGACTATTGAAGACATGGTCCGAGAAGAGCGGCGGACGCGGGATCAATTTGGTGGAGATGGGAGACGACTGGCGGAAAGGATCGCCAGAGACTCGAAATTCGAGGTCAGTTCATCTCCMCACTCACGCAGCTATGAACTTGTTACTGATTTTATTTGTCTGAGTTAGAATGATTTGGAATACATGGACGATAATGCCGCCAAACTCGCCAAAAGGGTGCATCGGTCTGAGATCAACCTCAAGAACGCTACTATCAGCGAATTTCAAAAGATGAATCGGATCTTGGACAACTGCCCGCTCTGTCATCATGAAGATACCAACACGCCCCCAATCGCTCCTGTGGTGTCTTTGGCGACCCGAACCTATCTGACTCTCCCCACCGAACCCGAGCTTAGCGAKGGATGCGCTACCATAGTTCCTATCCAGCATCGCACCAACCTGATGGAGTGTGATGACGATGAGTGGGAAGAGATCCGGAATTTCATGAAGAGTCTAACCCGGATGTACCACGATCAAGGCCGCGATGTCATTTTCTACGAGAACGCAGCTCAGCCAAATCGGAAGAGACATGCAGCCATGGAAGCCGTTCCACTGCCGTACAGTCTTGGGGAAACATCGCCCGCCTTCTTCAGGGAAGCGATTCTCGCAGCAGACTCTGAATGGACGCAGCACCGAAAACTGATCGACACCCTTGCCAAGGCGAAGCAGGGACTGGGTCGGAATGCGTTCCGTCGCACTCTGGTCAAAGAGATGCCCTACTTCCATGTTTGGTTCGAGTTGGACGGAGGACTGGGCCACGTGGTGGAGGACGAGCACCGCTGGCCACGCGGCGATCTGTTTGCCCGCGAGGTTATTGGAGGCATGCTCGATCTAGGCCCAGAGGTGATTAAACGACAGGGCCGCTGGAACCGAGGAGGCGATCGCAGAGTGGACGGGTTTAAGAAGAGATGGCGGAAGTTCGATTGGACCCGAGTGCTTGTGGAGGGATAGGTCGAGAGAGCGTTCAGTTAGATGTTATTCAAGCCAAAGCAGCTGATATTATGAATATACATGATATGACTGTCAACCAATTTCAAAGGAGATCAAACGATGAGGGAGATAGTGCTGGTCTTTATCCCCGTACCAGATTTGTGATAATGGAAGAGGTAGTGCATGCTCCCGCTTTTCAGGAACATTAACGTCCCTGGAAAATTATTGACTGCTAAATAGCAGCTGGTCTCCCCATTCTGAGGCCATTCCATGTCCAGACTGATGTCCTTCTGCCTCGCAATTAGACCCGATGCTCGGACGGATCTCCCCGCATAACCCCCACGCCGCGTTCACATATCGCAGGCAAGTCTGTGGTAGCTTTTCTCACTGCCGGGAAAGCCCAGTGCTTACCAGAACGGATCCCACCGACATCGGTAATATCGCCTCATGTAGACTTTTTTTTTGCAGTTTGTCAATCCCTGAAGATCTTGACTGGTCAGTTGGGACCGGACTCCGTAGATAGATAGTGCGGGGGAGAAATACTGGGAAGGCGCTCCGATAACAACAGGTGGGGCATTGCAATCTTTCACGGCCAAGTGTAGGCAATATACTCTTTGCTTCCTTGGACTTTTTCTTCACCTCTTCTCATCTCTGACGATCGTGTGGATATTCTTCTCGTAGGCTTTGCTCTGTGTGCTATCAATTGTGCTCAATAGACATTGACGCAGCTGGCGCCTGATATACTCTCGGACCTAGCTTGTCCGCCAACAGTCTCGCTCGGCATAATTCCAGGTGCGACGCTTCTCGCTAATAAGTGAGTCAAACCCGTGCTTATCTATCTTCAATTATCCTTGGAATAGATCCCTAGATTGACTTGAAGCCACACAGAGACCTCACAATGGGTTCCGCCGGTACCAAACCCAAGGTCCTTCTTCTTGGATCCATCGTTCAGTACGCACTAGCCTCTCTCCCTGTCTCCATGAATCACTCTTCTGACCCAGTCTCTTCTTCCATCTAGCGCACACAAGACATGGCAATCGCTATCCGAGATCGCAGAACTGGTCACTCCCACCGCCACAAACCGCGCAGAGTTCCTGCAGGAATGCCGCTCCGGCAAGCTGGACGGCGCCGTCGCCGCATACAGAACCTTCGAGTCCGTCACCATCACGGGCTTCATCGATGAGGAAATCGTCAACGCACTCCCCAGCTCAGTGACATTCCTAGCGCACTGCGGTAAGCTCTCCTCGCACTCTTCTACAAACGTATCGCGGTGATCTGACCCCCCTCCAGGCGCGGGATACGACCAAGTCGACGTCCACGCCTGCAGCGCTCGCAATCCCCCCCTGCGCGTCTCCAACGTCCCCACAGCCGTGGACGACGCCACAGCCGACGTGAACATGTTCCTGATCATCGGTGCCCTGCGAAACTTCAACGCGGGCATGCAGGCCCTCCGCGAAGGGAAATGGCGCGGCCAACCCCTCCCCGCGCTCGGCCACGACCCTGAGGGCAAGGTCCTCGGAATCCTGGGCATGGGGGGAATCGGGCGCAACCTCAAGAAGAAAGCCGAGGCGTTCGGCATGCGGGTCATCTACCACAATCGCCGGCGGTTGAGCGAGGAGCTGGCCGCTGGAGCGGAGTATGTGACGTTTGATGAGCTGTTGGCGAAGAGCGACGTGGTCAGTTTGAATTTGCCCCTGAATGTAAGTTTTCTATCCTGCTTTTGAAGTATTTGCGATTATGTAGTTGTATCCTAACCATTGGAGAAGAAAAACACACGCCACATCATCAGCAAAGCCGAGTTCGAGAAGATGAAGGACGGTGTCGTCATTGTCAACACGGCGCGAGGCGCAGTCATGGACGAAGAGGCCCTCGTCCAGGCCCTCGATAGCGGCAAGGTCTACTCGGCCGGCTTGGATGTCTTCGAGGAGGAGCCCAAGGTGCACCCGGGCCTTATCCGGAACCCCAATGTTCTTCTTGTTCCGCACATGGGGACATGGACCGTCGAGGTGAGACACAGTCTACAGCGCTGGAGTCAACATGGCAGACATATACTAATCCGATTGGCTTTTGATAGACTCAAACGGCTATGGAAGAGTGGGCTATCGAAAACGTGCGACTCGCAATTGAAACAGGGAAGCTGAAGAGTCCTGTTCCGGAGCAAGCCGACCTTTGAATGAGAATATCACCAGAATCTTGCACTAAGCCCACCATAATTTGGGGAGATGCACTTATTTCTTATTATTGATATGTACATGATTTTGATGATAGAGTAGATGAATGGATACACTTGTCACTGTGCGTTAAAATGCACACATCAAATCGATCGCTGTAATTCTTCGATCAACGGACGTGTATCCCTCGAGGTTCTTCTCGTCCATATGCAGGACACCCCGAAGCGAAGCATGCCAGAAAGCATGCCAGAGCCAAACCCTCAACCAAGTCTTATTCGAAATGATAAGCAGCCAGAACGCCGTGATGCTGCCATTCCCTAGCTTCAGAGTGAATTGAGAACCGAGAAAAACTCCTATGCCATGAAAGCTTTCGCTGAGCCGATTGGACAAGGTGCGTGAAAAATCGAAGAGGAATGTAAGCCCGTACATGTAGGGAAAGAAAAGGAAAAGAAAGAGAAAGCGAAGTCAATGGCCAGATATTACCAACCGTAAGGAGATGTCGCCAATGCCGCAACGCCAGCTAGGTGAATGCAGAGTCGACTACTCCCGGGAAACATACCAGGACCGCACGACCATGCCGCAGATGCGTTTGACAACCTGTGTGGTGCCCTTGCCGCTGGCTTCTTGCTCGAGGAATTTCTGCGCTACATATAGCTTGGCTCCCGCATCCTTTTCGTTCGTGGTGACATGCTGAGGGAGGCTGTGGGGAAAGTCTGCCCAGCGCTGTCCAACGTGGCGGGCAATGGCAATGGAATAAATCACATCGCGATTCTCATAGGTGTCCAACAGCGTTCTGCAACGAGCCAGAGTATCATCGATTTCTTTGGCAGAGCTGGCTTCGTTATCGTGGAGTGTCAAGAAGTGGCCAAGCGAACTCCAAAAATCCAATGCTCTTCGCATCAGTTGATCAGGAAGAGTGGGTGGATCAGCTGCTGGCTCTGGAACGGGCCATTGGGCCAGCGGGTTTCTCTCCAAATGCTCGCCTGTTATCAGAGCCTCAATCACATCCAGTCTAGACGCGGTAGCCAACAGCTCGAAATCCTTTCCATGGTTGCCGTTCGACACATTCATCACATGACGGCACAATGTCATGGTACTCCAAACGACGGACGCTTCAAAGCTCTCCAGCTGCGCGACGACGTTGGGATCGTTAAGGTTCCGATCGTTGAATGCATCAATAAGAGCAGAGTACTCGGCCATCAGCTGCGCATTCGCCAATAGGTGACCGAGCGCTTTCTCCGAAAACCAGCGAGTCTCAAAGAATCTATCAATGGCAGGGGCATATGTAGCGAGGAACACGGCCTTGATTTCTTCGAGACGGTTCGGGGGAAGAGATGTGATAGGATGAGGGGGCGGAGGAGGAATGCCTCTCAGCGCCAGTAGATCGCTAATCTGAACTCGTTTCACTACTTTTGTATGAGTATGTACCACAATGGTATATCAAGGGATGAATACCGCGCGAGAAGGACGTACATTTGTAGCTGGCAGTTTCCGACGGAGTGACCGCGACATTTGTCGTCGCATTGAGGGTCGGCTGCAGTCCTCCCTGAGTGACATTCTGGGTGCTGGCCATATTGGCAGAGTTATTGCCCCCCAACGAAGGGTCAGCGGGAGAAGCGCCGTAGTCGTATTGTTGGTCGGTGGATGTAGACGGCGATTCTGAATGAAGAGAGGGAGCGAAGGGCTGGGATGCCGCAGGTACGTAACCCGGAGGCGCCGAGGGGTAGGAAGGCGTTGGATCCTGTGGATTGACGACGAGTGAAGGAGCAGGATTGGGAGCAGGTTGAATTGCAGAGGGAGTCGACGCCTGCGGTCTAAAGACAGGGTCGTAACCTAAACATTCACGCTTGCTCTTGACGCAATTTCTGCAAACAGGATGTCCCTCGTCACACTAGATAGCAACACCAATGCTCCGTCAGCCACTTCAAAACAATATCAAATAACTAAATAAGTGAATCGGAAACACGAAAAAAAATTGTTGCTGTTAGGGCGGAAAACAGTGGGCGACAGAAGAGCGGGGTTCTTTGCAGGTGGGCAGCACAAGCGAAGCGATAACTTTGCTTGCMCGCCCGCGATCCCCGCACACGATGATCGCTCGCTTCGGAATGCATCCAAAACAACACGGTCTGAAGATCCATGCCATGAAATTTTCTCATGTTCACAATTACATACCTTGATTCTGCGCTTTCGGCACGTTAGACATCCGGTCTTCGTTCTCCGCTTAACTTCCTTCTTGTGCCTTCCACCAGACAGCATCTTGTTCGGGTCGCCAGGGAGCTGGTAGCGCATCTGCGCGTTCGAATTCATACCCATTTGCGATACATTGGTGGGATATCCTGTCATATATTGGCCTACAGAAGCCATTGGGGGCATGTTCGAGGGCATGGGTGACCCAATGGGAGCCTGAGGAATATGGGATGGCTGTGGCGGAGCGTTCATCTGCGATGATGCGAGTTGATGATTCTGGTACACATCATGATTCTGTTGCTGGTATTGCTGATGTGTTGGCTGAGAATGCTGCGGCTGCGGCTGCGCATACTGTTGCGACGACTGATGCTGCTGTTGCTGATAGTGCAAATCTTGCGGTTGCTGCGGTGGCGACGCCTGATGCTGCTGTTGAGCGGTTTGCGATTGATAAGTCCCATTCGAATATTGATAGGGTGGCGTTTGACCGGAAGGGTGGCCTGACTGGTGGGATGTGGGATGCTCAGTCGCCCCGGATACTGTGCCAGTCGACTCTGAAGCAGCAGGTTCCGGGTTGGATGCTCGAGTACCTGAAAGCAAGAAGTTTGCCTCGGCAGCAGGCAAAGTTGTGTCTAGAGGTGGAAGAGATGTATCGATTGGAGGCAAAGATGGCACGCTCGAGTCGAGTGGTGGCAGTGTAGAATCCAGGCTAGGTAAAGACGTATCTATTGGGGGCAGAGTCGTGTCGACGGCCGGCATGGACTTGTCAATTGGAGGAAGTGACGTGTCGAAGGCTGGTAGTGCTGGTTCTAGAGCAGAGTTGCTAGTCTCCGTAGGCTGTTCGACAGCCGCTTGAGGAGCTTGTTCGGGCGTTGGCTGAGGTGCGGTCTCAGGGGCACTTTCTGCAGTAGGCATGGGAGTCTGATCCGGAATCATCTCAGCAGCGGGCTGATGGGTCAATCCAGCTGCTTGTTTGGGCGATTCCCCAGGCGCGTTCGCCGATTCTGCTGATTCCGCCATGGCTGTTGACGAGGATAGGGTTCTGCGCGCAATGGAGCCCTCTGAAGGGAAAAGCGTGCGAATTCGATGCAACGGATGATATACGACGTCGCAACTTGGCAGACACGCCTATCCGTGGTTCTGTGACTTCGTACAGTGGCCTGAAGGTTTGGTGCCGGCTTGCATCTATTCCTGCGGTCTTTCGGCCAATGCGATGTTAGTATCAAGAACTCCGCAAATAGGCTAGAATACAAAGAATCGCGCGTTTAGAAATCACAGTAGTGCTCCTTTGACGGGGATGATTGGAACGGAAAATGAGGGTATTGGCCGATCAAACTTGCTGGCGCATTCTCTGATTGCCATGAGCTGTCATCTCAAGAGGCCCGCTTGCGCAACGCAAAAGCGCATTTGCGGCTAATGACAGAAATATTTTCCACAATAGATCTGGACACTTGTGCAGTACTCGAGACTCGCCGAGCATGGGACCTCGAGGGTGACAAGGCATGGGTTTGGAATGTTGCCGGGCGAGGCAGTCATGATCTTCTCCGCTCGGGGCAAGCGTAAAACAAAGACGACGCCGCAAAACAAGTTCCAGAATACCGTAGCAACATCGCAACGAGTTTCAACAAACAAATATTGCTCTTTGACAGAACGAGTACAAATCTCAAATAGCTCATGAAGCTAAAGAAATAAAAGACATATCGCAAGCGAGCAGGATTGCGCCCGGCAAAGAAACAGAGAGGTCCCGTTTGGGTTACTTACCAAGTACTACTACTGGTCCAGATAAGCGAAAAGAAGCGAGAGTAGCCAGCCGAGTCAATAATATTCCACCAGATCTCTCGATTTGATCATGAAAACCTCCGCATCAAGTGTGGGGAGAATGGTTTGCAATGAGGTCGTTGCGCGTCAAGAAGATCTTCTGGTGTGAGCTCCGGAACAACACTAGAAGAAGCCCCGGCCTTTGACTACAGGAGGGAAGGAAAAAAAAATTGGAGGGAAAAAGGGACAGTAGTGGCGAGAATCACTCAACACCGCAGATACGGCAGACGTATCTAATCTTCACTGATAAAATAGCTTCACAACGGCTATTAACTTCCTCTGTGAATACCAGTTTTTTTAGCCAAAAATATCTCCTTCAACTCTCACCTTGCTGGTTTTATGTTGCTTCTAATTTCTTCAATTCTAGCACTGTGCCTTTATTCCTCTCATTCTAAGTAGGCATACTTACCCACGTATTGTGACTTGATCATTTACATTAATACACTAGTAGCTGGTACTGGCTGTCTAGTAGGAAACTGTGGGACTATCGCCTGACAACCAAAGCTTGATCTGGCTCAATATTGCTCTTCTTGTCATAAGTCTGTTTTTCAATGAAATTTGTTTCGTATGCATGCTATCATAGATTGCACGCCAAAGGGAGATGTGAGAGGTCACTAACGAGTTGCATAGGGTGTCGATCTCTTCTGGTGAGCTGCATCTGATGTTTGGATGCGTAAGAACTGATCATTCTCCATCCACCGCATGAGGCCCCAACGTCTCTCTGCGGACGTATGGCCAAATATTATCTGAGAACATGCGTGGGTGCGAATCGGTACAGGCTAACACAAGGCCAGCAAGGCCTTTCCTGAAGCAAATCAAACCATGAGCTGAATTTCTTCAGGGACGGACAATTTGAGGCCATATGCATCATTCCTGGTTCGCCGACACTGTGGTTTAGTGAGATGAGTGCCACGATCGCTTCATTGGAACACCGGTATATTGGACCATGTGCGACCATAACGCATCGTTCGTAGATTTATTCGCAAGGGAGATAATAAATATTCCGTAGCCGCACAAGCTGGCTATTTTCTCAGAACCTTCGGCTTGCGCTTCTTGAAAACAACTCCTGTAGGCGCCGCCTCGTCTTCCTGCTTCACCGCTGGAGTATCTGATATAGAAAGCTGCGCCGCTTCTTTTTCCTCAGACTTGACCGATGGTAGTTCTGACTCCCGTGCCGCAGCATCGTTGTTTGGGGTAGCACCCTCTTTGCTAGCCTTCTCTTTGGACTGTTCATCCGGCGTGGACAATTTGACCTTCTTTACATCCTTGGTAGAATCAAGAAGGGCATCCAGATCTGCATCGCTCTGCGCACCAGGGTACTGCCGAGTCCTCGAGCCCCAACCCTGACTCACGAATCGCTCAGCCTCCTGTCGTGCCTCCTGCTCTTCCTCATCACCTTCCATCTTTCGTTTGCGAACCCCAATAGAGCTACCGGGTTTTCCTTCCTCGGCATCGTCAACTGGTCGGATCACCCGTTCGGATACCGTCTGCCATTCGCCAGCGAGCGCGAGTTCACCACGGTATTCATTTGGGACAGCGATTCCCATCTCTGCCAGCTGTGCAATCTGCTTCTTTCTCTCTTCCAGGGATACAGGTCGTTCCGCCGGGGGAGGCGCAGCCGGGGTGCGTTTCCAGGGTGCTCCGCCGCTGTCCTTTGCGCCTGGTTTTCCTGCGACAGTTTGCCTTAATCGCTCGACTTCGTCCTTCGCCTTCTGTGTCTCTCGTTGCTTCCGCTCATTTTCCCGGTGGATATCTCGTAGAAAGCGCTTAAGGTTTCCCTGGTGTTTGGCACTCGCTTCATGCTGGGTTTTCTCGAAGGGTGTATCACGAATGAATATCTTGCATTGTTTGCACCAGAATCGGGGCTAGATTTACGCTGTCAGTCGATGCTGAACTTCCTTCACGTAAAGATGAATCCGAGGAAGATTCTGGGACTGAATAGCGTGCACTTACAGCTGATTTCCAGTATTCTGCCATGACGATATCTGTGTTGAATATGTTATATGAGAGGGAAATGATATCACCGTTATCGCAAAATAGTCGCGGTGATAATCTGCCACTCCAAATCGACCTAGTCCTAAAACAGCAGTCAGTGTTGCTCTCCAGCTTGAATGTATGCCACACATATCATGTTGTAGGAATAATCAAGTGATTCTAAATCCATTCGAGGAACAAAAGGTACAAAAGCTTGCAGACGAGATTTAAAATTTTTCTATCTTTGTTGGCCTTGTTGTATCCTAACTGCACGAGTCGCAGTCAACTATATATGTATATTTCCCCACTAGAATATTGTAACTTAAAAATACCCCTTCACAACTCCTATTTCGAAATTGTTGTCAATTCTATGTCGCAATTTCTACTCTGATCCTTGCCTCAACAGTATCGGGTTGGAACCAAAAGCCTATGTCCCGTGTTGAATCCAGAAGCTCGATCTCTCTTCTGACGAACTCTGCATCCTCAGTAGTTGGTACGGACGCGCTGCTCTCTCCTAAATCGGTAGCTGTGGCTTCATCCTCATCACTATCCCAATCGTCTTCATCATCCTTTTTCTCCTTATTAACAGGGTCCAACTCGTCGGTCTCCCAGACTAGTCGGCACTGGTAAGGCGGCAGATTGAATAGGCGGGAGGCGATAGCCTTGACTTGATATGTATCAAAGGATCTCGGGATCTCTTGAACTTGAATTTGGTCTTGATTTGCATCGGATCCAATCGATGATTGCAAACGAAAAGCCAACTTCACTAATCGGGCGGCAACAGAGCGCGGATTCACAGCAGCGCCTGCCAACTCGGCTCTCTTGATTGTGGGCGGGCCATATTTCTCACAAAGCTCCTGATAGCGGGGATGTGTAGCAAGGATCTCGCGCTCTGCGCTTTCAGGGTACGCGGATAGCTCCTTACCAATGAGAGAAAGGTAATAGAGTTCCCCATTACTTCGGTCTTGGGCAGTTATCTTGCTGTAGTTGAGGGTTTGAATGGAAGCGAGTCGAGAGAGTGTTAGCATGTAGGCCTCGTCCACCGTCATTGGCTTCTCGGGCAGCTTTGTGACGTTCGACGGGGCAACAGGCTTATCGTAAAGAGGATTTCCTGATATCCGCAAAGACTGCAGCCCAGGAAACACAGATTGAAGATCATTCACAAACAACCATGAATCGATGCTGTTTCTGGATAGGTCCACCGATTTGAGATTTTCGGAAAATTGAATAGAGCTTCCTTCCATGCCGGGCGCATAGACTTTCTCAATGCAATTCTCTCTCAGCGAGAGATGCTCGAGCTTGCTCAAAGAGGTCAGACATGCTAATGAGGATAGCGAAGAGATGTCATTATTTTCCAGTGTCAAAGTTGTGATAGTACCCGCGATAGGCGTTGAGATGTGGGTAATCTGATTTGCGGAGGCTGACAGAGCAGAAAGTGATGGGAATTGATATGTCAAAGCCGAAATCTGGAGAAGATCAAGGGTCAGTCAGTTCGCTGGTTACCAAGCAGTAGCTTTGCACGGCATACCTCGTCCCATTCAAGTAGAGTCTCATCCAGATGGAGCGCCGTGATGTCCTCGAATATCAGACCTTCCTGGCGAGGACCCAGACGATTTCCGCTGCCAACCGTCAGCATGCTTCTCATAAACGTACTGAATGACCTACATTAGCTTTAATGTCTTCAAGCGCTTCAGCTGTCGACATATGTTTGCAATGTCAATCCAGCTTTCTAGTAAGTTGTAACTTAGATCAAGCTCAACGATCTTAGGACAAGTCTGTTCTATCTCCTTGCAAGCCTCTGCAAGCTCATGTGGGCTCGCTGCATGAGCCAGAACTCCTGCGATACATAGGCGATCCAGGAGTACGATTTTCAATTCCTGGAGCTCTGCAAGCTTCTTCCGGATCTTGTCGAAGCCGACCTCTTCCACTACTTTATTACTAAATTTGATAGTGTCCCGTGCAGCAGAGACTTCGCCTGACTGTTGTCTTGCAAGTTCCTCTTGAAACTCAGAAGCATACTTGTGGCGCACTGCCTCAAGGAAGCCTCGAGGTTTGTCGGGTCGTCGCGAAGGACGGACAAACGACCCAGCTGTGGGGTGTTTTCTTCTACCTTCCATGCAAGTCAGTCAACACGCTCCATACAGTCTTGAAAATACATTCATACATGTAAAATATCTCACTCCGTTGTGTTCTCCAGAATGCTTTCCCCGCGTGGGGTCATCCCATTCCACTCCAAGCCAGTCGCCGGTGGTGCCTTCAACTTTACCCACGTAACGAACTGTGCATAGATCACCATTGTAGGATCGCCGTTGATTCACATAGCATCCGACGTCCATCATTGAAGCTAATAGTCATGCACGCCCGGCGTCGCACTCAAGAAGCTCTGGGTGGTTGTTTGATAGCGCACCAAGCCCAATGAGAAGCCCGCGCTGGTGCTTACATAACCCAAATATATCGCGATCTCCGAATTTCCAGTCGAAGCTTATCGTTGCGCATCATCTGTTTTTGTCCTCTCCCTCACTTCTTACGAGTTTCGGTGGACGTGATTCAAGATGGATTACCAGGTAAGCATGAGTAGCATGTATATCCACTTTCTTTGGCTTGATCTAATCTCTCTCTTAGAACCGCGCTGGATCCAAGTTCGGTGGCGGTGGTGTTGCATCGCACTCCGCAACGAATGCAGACCGTCGTGAGCGTCTTCGCAAGCTCGCCCTCGAGACAATCGACCTCGACAAGGACCCCTACTTCTTCAAGAACCATGTCGGAAGCTTCGAATGCCGTCTCTGCTTGACGGTCCACCAGAACGATGGCTCATATCTGGCCCATACCCAGGGCCGCAAGCACCAGACAAACCTGGCCAGACGTGCCGCGCGGGAGCAGCGCGAGGGCAAAAACCAAGACCCAGCGATGTTGCCCGGTGCGATGGGTGTGCAGGTCAAGAAACAGACTATTAAGATCGGACGGCCCGGTTACAAGATTACCAAGATCAGAGATCCCTTGACGAGGCAGCTCGGTTTGCTGTTCCAGTTACAGTATCAGGAGATTACACCTGGGGTCAAGCCCCGAGTACGGTTTATGTCCGCTTTCGAGCAGAAGGTTGAGGAGCCGCCTGACAAGAACTTCCAGTATCTGGTTGTCGCTGCCGAGCCATATCAGACGTGTGGTTTCAAATTGCAGGCCAGGGAGATCGACCGCAGAGAAGGTCGCTATTGGACCTGGTTTGATGAGGACAGCAAGGAGTTTTGGATCCAGATCATGTTCAAAACTGAGCGAGAAGAGAGATTTAGTGGTGTGCCGGGTCTGGCACCAATGGGACCCAGGACTTAATGAAGGGGGCGTTGAAGGAGTACAGGTGCTTTCCTGAGCAAATCTAACGGCATGTACTATTCAACTGGGGCTTTCTCTCGGCGTTAATGTTGGATTTTCCTCGCATTGTGAATCGATCTTAGTTCTCAGAATGGGCGACTTTTCCCCGCGAATAAACTTTTGGAAACCATTCTCTTTCACTGGTTTACTTTCTACCAGGCACAGAGGAGTAGCTTGTCTACTTTCTGCCCTACAAGGCTGTGCTGTTTCTCAGGTGCATTTCTCCCCGAGGTTTACTTTCATTTGTGAATACATTGAGGCGCGGTGAGCGCCATATGTATGACCTAGCTAATAGACAAAACAGCCAGTCAAACCATAGTCTGTCCGCTTCAGTGTATCAAAGAATTTTGACGACMAACAAACAATGCACTCGTATGTAGTTCTTTGCTGCTAGATAAAGTCTATACCTAGCAGTTGTCGTCTTGCGACAGAAAATGCATATGAAACCAAATATGCTCAGGCCATTATCACAAGGGAAAATCAAATGCGCTATATGCTCATGATGAAGACCAATGGAACGACTAAACCGTCTAAAATTGAACATCCACCGCTGCCAGGGTTTTCCGCGCAAGCCAGCCCGCTTTGAGAATCCCCGGCTCGGTTCATGCACAATCCACCCACTTGAAGGCCAGCTTTAGGTTCAGTTCGCCTGGAAAGCATTGAACGCTTTGTATGTGTATCCAATGAATGGGAGGCTCATCTCAGCCTCCTGCTCCTCTGGCATGGCACGGGCCTGAGCACGGTGGATAGCGCTGGTATCTTCCTGCGGAATCTCGTCGATGGGGAAGTACGAAACGTCGATGTTCGAGCTGAGCTTCGGCTCGAAGGGAGCGCGAATATTACGAAGTTGTTCCCACACCACTCCACGGAAGAATGGGTGGTTCTTGATTTGTGTGGCACCACCGAACTGGCCGCCTTCGTTGCCGATACGGTGCTCCGCGTCGCATAGGAAGCTGCAGTATGATTAGCTTTCAAGTCAAAACAATGAAAACGGTAACTGGAACATACTTCCGTATCAACGATTCCGAATCGCGGGACAGCGTAAGTTCCTCGGGGAAATACAAGCATTCTCTCCAGTTGACGATCTTACGGTAGGTATCCGTGGTATCCTCGGCACAGAACGGGGGCCAACCCACAAGACATTCGAACATGATAGCACCCACTGACCACCAATCACAAAGATAGGTATATCCCTGACCATTGAAGATTTCGGGCGCAATGTAATCGGGTGTGCCGACTGTCGAATAAGCCATGGCCCGGCGGGACTTTCTCCAGGTGTTAATCTGCCCACGGTTCGAGACTGTGAGGTTTATCGCATCGTTGAAATATCCAGAGTTGCGATTCTTATCCTTCGAAGTTGAGTTCTTCAAAAGATTCTGGTAGTATGAGTTGTCGTGTGTTTTCTTGCCTCCCGTTGAGAGGCCGAAATCAGTAAGCTTGACGTGACCACCTCGGTCGAGCAGAATGTTGTCAGGTTTGATGTCCCTGTCGAGCGCGGCTGAGTTAGTACTTGTATGACAATCATAGTTGGGTAATGCCCTCCGCATAGCTGGAGGGCAAAGAAGATGACTAGAAACGGGGATAACTCACCGATGGAGGAAGCCAAGCTTGTGGACGGCCTCGATGGCCATTACGATTTCTGCCATATAGAACCGCGTGATATCTTCGGAGAAGATTTCATACTTGATGAGCATGGTCATCAGATCACCTCCAGGTAAGAACTCCATGAGCAGATAGAGATAGGCGCTGTCTTGGAAAGAAGCATGCAGCTTCACGAGCCACGGGTTGTCCTTGGAGTCCGCCAAAATGTCACGCTCAGCACGAACATGAGCCAGCTGATCCTTCTTGAACATTTCCGTCTTGATCAAAGATTTGAGGGCATAGATTTTGCCGTCGGTCTTCCGTTGCACGAGTTTGACTTCACCAAAGGCACCCTTTCCGATAATCTTGATGGTCTGGAAGTTGGCAGGTGTCTCTTTGGTCCGGAGGAATCGTAGGAAGGTTGACTCCTTTCTCGCAGCAATCTCGGCCTCCTGGCGCTTCTTTTCCTTGGGGGTACTAGGGTCACGGATCATCTTATCGAGCTCGGCAGAACTGTTTGAATGGAAATGAAGGCATTAGCGATTTCTCCCTGGCCACGTGAAAATGTCTTCACCACTTACCGCATGTTGCGATCGCGTGCCCGCTCAATGTTCTCATGGAAGAACACATTCACCAACTCTTTCGCCGCCTTGCCACGCTTATGAACGTTCTCAGAGTAGCGTTCGGGATACCGTTGAAGTTCTTCGTTCTCAGCCGGGGTTCGGGGGCTCCGAGGCATAGGAGGGGCCAGGTGGGCCGGCTGCTGTTGTCCGGGGGCAGAAGAACCAGCAGTGCGAGGTCTCTGAGCAGGGGAGGCAGAACGACCAAAGAAACCCGTGCGCGTCGAGTTCAGATCCTGGTTAGAGAACTGCTGGATAAGTCCATTTGTCCCATCGTTGGCATTGTAGGCCATCCGTGACTGGTAGGTGGGCTGAGGGGACGCCAGATTGTGCTGTTGCTGTTGCTGCTGTTGTTGCTGCTGCTGCCCGTAAGGCGCCTGAGAATACTGGGGAGGATAAGGGTTGGCCATAAAGTATCCTCCTTGATTGTAAGCCCCATTCTGAGCATCGACATAATCCTGAGGACCCTGATTCTGGTATATCGGCTGAGGGAAAGCAGAAGGGGTTGTTGGGTATGCGCGGTTGTTGGCCGCTGCATTGTATCCATTGCGATCGTTGAACCCGAAATTCAGGTGGAGACGATTATTGTTAGGATCCATTTTGTGACACCCTTTCCTCGATTCAACTACCTCGACGTGACAGACGTTGGGGGAGTGGGATCGGAGGGTTGTCGATGTGAAGACGAAAAAGTTGACGACCCAAGGGGGAGGGGAAGGGCACGGGTCAATATTCAAAGGAGCGGTGGCTCAGGAGTAGTACGAAGAGCCCTTTGGGGAAGAGAGGGGGGACTGCCGGACGGGGGAGAAGCCGCACGTTGCTCCGTCCTCCACGTTCAGGAGAATAAGGACAAGAAACGAGGGTATGTATCTGGCAAATTCAAAGAAGACTTTGAGAAAATATGCCTCTATTTAACAAGAAGAAGACAGAATCTGAAGAAACAACGAGTGTCAGAGCCAAACGATCAAGAGGCTACTGTGTCTATCTAGTGTACCTGCTACACTCCAACTCTGCGCGATGTTTGGTTCGTTTTGCGACTTTGCGGAGTCTGGGCTGTCGGGATACGGCAGACTACAGAGACCAACTGTGCAGGACAGGGGGCTAGTGTTGGCCTGGGGCAGTCAGGCACCAATCTGGGCAGAGGGTTCCTGAGGCTCTTTTCCAATTGTCCATGTCTGCATTCTCGGATTTTGAATAATTCATCACACTTCTTTGCGCATTACATTATTTACTCATGTTGTAGTATCTCGCCTTCGCGGATCAATAAGGTGCCTTAAAATACTAGGTCTCCAACCAACAACAATGAAAAGGGCTTCGCTTTCGCCATCAAACCGTTGGGATAAGTAATTAGCAGCACGAACTAGAGGATGATTCGACAAGGACAATATCACTGAAGCCGTAAACACTTTATTAACATAGCATGGCTAGTGTATTATCTGCAGTCAATGTAGTCTGAGTTTTGGAGGATTCTTGACTATTTGTCTGGACAGACACTAGTCTAGCTCTCGAACATCGCTCCAATGCTCTTTATATACCGCCCGGATAAACCTGGTCCCGTGCAGCTTTGGAGGATGCCGAAGTTTTTTGAACTCATCTCGAGTCATGACCGGAAGCTATGCGGTTTTCTTCAAAGAGGATCTGCTCACCTTTTAAATAATTTTCCTCCCTTGGGCTTGGCTCATTAACTAAAAATTGAAATTACTCGCCTACACACTTGCGCCCCATTACCTCCAACATCTTGAGCCATGGCGGAGTCCTCCAATTCCGCCGCTGCC